ACCTTCATTTTCTCCTAATTTGGTTTTCTTCCATGGAAGATTACTTGCACATTATCCAGCTTGCCTTTATGGACGAAAGTAACAACAATGCAGGTTTTTTGTTGTTGTTGTTTTGCAGCGTGGGCTCATACAGGTGGAGGGTGGGAAAATGTGGTGTTAAAGTAAACTAAGCAGAATTTTTCTTTTATTTTCTCTCTCTCTCTTATATAAAACCATCTGCAATCGTGATTCTCTACAAGTTCTCATTAAAATTCCCCGCTGAACTTGCAGGGGCGATTTCATTACTGCAGCTTCAAGTTTTGCCTCTTCATCTCCCTGATCTCCTTCCTCTTCACTCCTTTGCAGCTTCGCAGCAAATCTCCTCCATCTGAGCTTCCCTCCGCACGCTGCAGCTTCTGCAACAAGCCGCTTTAAATATGCAGCTCCTCGTTTGTTATCCTGGCCGTTCAGCGGGCGGGCAGGCGTTGTGGAGCCTTGGACTGCTGCAGTAGTGGCAACCGACTTCGCACGCACGCACGCACGCACGCACGCACACACACACACACACACACTCCTTTGTGTTCCCTCTCTCTCTGTTGTTTCAGTGATAGAAATTGCATGTCACTTTTGTTTAACAGCCACAAGTGGCCTTCCAGACATGTGGAGGAGCTTTGTTTGAGCTGATATTAAAAGGAAGGTTAATGACGGTGGACGCACTGTGAATGTAAAAAAAACACGAGGATGGCGTCTGGAGCGTGTCTGTGGTTAACGTGGAACTTACCGGTCGAATGTTATACGCCAAGAGGACAAACCTCTTGTCTGCAGACACTTGGAATTTAGTCGAGATCAGGTCCTGCAGAAAAAGGCAGAGTTAGCAGAAATGCTGTAACTACTTCCTGCTTTACTTTGGGCGGCTGTACGCCAGTGAAGGGAAGAATACAGGAGGGATCGAGAAAATGCTCATGAAGTAAAGGAAATTCAGTTAATCGGACTAAAAACTGATATTTACTTGAAAGATTTTAGTGTGGAAACATGAAAATAAAACGTTGATTTTCTTTGTGCGTTATTGTTGAAACAACTGTTGGATTTGGTGGGGTTCATTTCAGAACGCAGCCTAAAGATTATTTTAGGGCTGCAAGTAACGATTATTTTAATGATCGATTAATCAGTTCATTATTTTTTCGATTAATCAATTAATCGGCCAAATCATTAAAACACTTTATTACATGAATATGAGTAGATATAAATTAAGTTAATTCCTTAAAGATGCAAGTTATTGATAAGGAATTAATCTGAAGTTGATTTATCTTATTGATTGATTAACAATTAAGAAGCAGCCATTTTTTTTTAAAAGAGGCAGAGTTTTCTCTTCAATCAAGAGGGTCTTCCCATAAAATGAAGGATTTTTTATAATCTCCTGAATTAAAAAAAAAACAGAAGCACATAATACATATTTTGACAATTTACTTTGCCAGCTGTATTAAATACTGACTGAAAAAAATGTGTGTTTCTCCTACATGAAACATAACAGAAATTTAATAGGTTGCTGAATGAGGAAAATAGATTAAAA